ACGTTTATCCATTTCCATAAACCTCCTTTCTGTGTGACCTTTAATGGATTCTACATCATGTTGAGATACATTTAATCAGAAATGTAATATATGAGCATCTTTATATTGCAATGTAAGTTAGAATAGACACTTTTTTCATTTGAACAAATGTTTAGATCACTCATAAATTAACAGTGTTCCTGTATCACCACTACAGAGAAATATCTAATCTATCTTCTGCTGCATTAAATTGTTGCAAAAGAACTGCTTCTTGATAACAATGGCAATACAGTTCCCATAAAAATTTCACTATAACTTGAACATAGCTCATAAACATTATCCAGAAGTTTGAATTTAACTTTTGACCATAAGCTAAATTTTGGGGGCCTGATGAATCCAGCACCTGAATTAGAGTCCTCGTGCATGAACCAGTTAAATTTTTTTTCTTTTCCACGTGAATATTTACAGCCCACAAGGAAAGATAACAGGAGTACCAACATACTATAAGCACACCTATCACATTAATTCTTGGCCAAGTAGAAAATATTCCAAGTAGCTTGAAATATTCTATTCTAACAAGACTTCCAGATCAATATTTTTAGTATTTTTGGTCCCAATGTATTCACATGAATATCCTACAATTTGTCTGTCAGTGAGAACTGCTAAAGTGCTTGAACAGTTGAATTTAGACACCACTATATTAACCCTAGTTCTCTGTGGCAGCACTTTTCAGTGTGTTTGCTTTCTCTTATAATGGACAAGAGAAACCTACTTACAAAAAAAAAAAAAGTAAAAGCTTTGTATAACATTGAGGATGAGGTGAAGCCTCTGGATATAAAATATGACATTTACTAGAATAACTTACTTCTTGGGAACAGCTTTTACAGTATGGGATAAGTTATATTTACAAAGCATCTCACCTTAAACCTGGAAATAATTTTTATGAGATCTCTTTCACATTGTGCATTTTAGATTACTTTTGATATCCAGTTTATGAAAACAAATGTTTCACTTTTCCTTTTCTTTTGCAGTGTCAAGAAATTTTGCTGGCATGGGACACACCAGATGAATTCTCTGCAGTGGATCTGACTCCAAATAAAATTTAATAAAGCTGTATATGCAGTTGTCAGTAATGCTGGGCAGGGGCAATCAAGTTAACAGATTCTCATTCTGGGCAACAGAAGGAAAGTAAAATTCTTCAGGGTTCATGAAAGAGTGTGATAATTTTGACTGACATAAAATTTATGCTGTATGTTTCTGATTTGACTCCTCAAATATATTTACTTTTCCCAAGAGTTATATTTTCTTTGTGAGGTCTAATTCCATCAGAGCAGGACTGCCTTTTACTACTAGTAGATTCTTGCCTATATTAGGAGAAGCAAAAAAATTGCCTTTAGATGAAAATGCCGTCGTGTACTGGTAGTTTTATTCCCAAACCCTGCCTGTGTGATATCCACCAGAGCAGGCTGCCTGTTGATGAGCTTTCATCTCCAGGCTGCTGAAGGGGCAGAGGCAGTGCTGGCAGCCCAGGGCTCCGTGGCTACTTGTGAGCAGCCAGGACAGGCTGGACAGACAGCAGCCGGGCAGCTCACCTCCCTGCGCATGGCTGCCTGCGGCTAGCAATGAGCTTACTGGCTACTGGCTTGCAAATAAAATCAGTAATCAATACTTGAAAAGCAAGAAAGATCTCTATTTTCTGTCCTAAAGCTGGAGATTTCTTTCCCAAGAAAGGATGGCACACAAACAGCTGGCTCTGTATAAAGGAGTGGATAAAGCAGCAGATACAGAAACAAGCAGCTGTCAGCTGGATTGCTCTAAAGCTGACATGCTTTTGTCAAAACAGAGGGCTATTCTGCTAGAGGCTGATATGTTTGAGCGTGTTTGTACTTCATTGTGTCAGTCCTTTTGTTCCCTCAACTTTGCTTTGGATTACCAAATGTGAGAAATGGTGAATCAATTCCCTATTTGACTATGATCAAATTAAAGAAAAGAAAGGAAAGTAGGTGGGAAAAAAGGAACAGACAGGCTGAGACTGGGAAAGATATCATGGTTGTTACTCTTGGAAGTAGCAATTCTTTCAGTCTTAAAGGACAGAAAGTTCTAGTCTCCCTCAGTTTGAACAACAGTATTTGAACCTACTGCTCACTTTTCCTAAGGGAATAAATATTCCACAATGGAGAAGGGAGTTCACATCTCACATTTCTCACTTTCTCACCTCCTATGCAAGAATATATAAAGCTTGGGGAAGAGGAGATTGATAAAACCACCTTAATGTGATAATGATCAAAATTTTGAGCTCTACTTATAGTACTATTCACGGATTTTGCATGTGTCCAGAGTTTTAGCATATCTTGTATTGTTAATTACAGTGTAATCACAGTACATTGCATTGTACAATATTTTCTGTTGGGAGTAAATATTCAACTTTCCACCATACAGAAAAATAGATTTGATTTTATTTATATTTTGAATTTACAAACATAATTAACAACACTGAGAAAATTACATTCTTTACAATAAAATTTTATAGGATGTGCCAGAAATTTAGAAAATTTTAAAATTAATGTTTCTTGCCATGTCAATTATCAAGAACACATTCGTATCTTATACCGCAATTTATGCCATAACTGTGTGGTCATCACAATATCACAGAAAATTTGAAGAGCATTTCTTATAAGCAGAACTATGATATTCAAGCAGAAAATACTCATCTCCTGGTTGTTATTAACAATTAATTGATGTGATATCAGAAAACTGCTTATCAATCTATAAGAAATAGTAAGATATGAGATCTGTCCTATAAAGCTAAAAAGATACAGGAAAAACAGCATTCCCTGGATAATCCAGTACATAACCATTAGACTATATTTCCTTTGCCTTAATTTCCTGTTGTTATTTTGGTTTTTTTATTAATAATTTTGGTTAGAAGAGTGAGTGTCACAAATTTTGGAGTAACTCTTCAGGGTTTTAGATTATACAGGCTAGTTTTCCCAGCCCTCTGAACCTTTTGGCTATTCTTGATTCTGGTGAACATTACAGATACCTATCAATTGACTTAACAGCCTGGAAAAAGGATGTGTTTTACATTAAAGAACAAGCTGGAGTAATGAGAAAAAGGCTAAGCAGGAGAAGAAATAATTTCCCGGGCAGATAACAACATATGGTGTTTTCTACTGGGAAATGCATGTACGGATTCAGAGAATGACTACTGTATTATGGGGCTTTTAAAATCCAAAAGCAGCACCAACATCTCTCAGAAAATGGATGTTGAACTGTATCTCAATATTTTAATAGAGATAGAACAGCAAAATTGAAAACAATGAACAGTGTATGGATAACTCTAGCACCCTGTCCATCAGACACTCTGAAGGCAGAGACTTGCTGGAAAGGGCAAAGAAATGCTGCAAAATTATCAAGAGGCTAAAGGAAATATTTGAATGGATTTCTCCCACTCAAAATCTAGTGGTGGACACAACCCCAGTGGTTTAGGGACTACAGATGAAAACGTAGTATTGAGTTTCCAGCTCCTGTACATTTTGCTTTGAAAGTAGAGTGTCCCATTCTGATGAGTTCCAGCAGCTATGGGGCTGGTCCGACTTGGTGCAAACTGAAGGACGGGAAATTCCACATCTGCTACTGGCATTAGCAGTAGTAGGGGCCTGGATGCTTCTCTTTCTGTCCACCATGGGTTTCCAGTTTCTCAATTATATCAAAAGTGGCATAAGAGCTTCCACATGAATTCCGAAATTACATCTTTGTTTGGACAGAAATGAATAACATCTTCCGAAAGAATATGCCAGATTTAAAAAGTTGATCTCACTGGATCAGCTTATAAAACCTCTTTAAGAGCAATCTTTTCAAATATGTGTGAGGTGCTATCTAGTGTCCTTTTTCTTCCAGTTCTCGTGAGGAAATAAAATATCTAATGAAGGCGATTGTTCCAGTGAACACCATGTGCTTTCTGAAATATTGTCACTTAGTTTCCAAGTAGTTTCCAAGTGCAGAAAAAGTGTTTTTCTTAGTAATTGCAATGTTTATATTCAGCATGTGATATTACAGAGGATCCCAAATGGTCATAATCAGTGACACAAAGTCTAACTGGAGGCCTGTCGCTGGTGGTGTCCCTCAAGATTCAATACTGGGCCCAGTCCTGTTTGACTTCCCCATCAATGGCTTGGATGAAGGGACAGAGGCCTCCTCAGCAAGTTCACTGGTGACACAAAGCTGGGAGGAATGGCCCAGAGAGCTGTGCAGCCCTTCAGAGGGATTGTGACAGGCTGGAGAGATGGGCAGAGAAGAGCTGTCTGAAATTCAATAAAGGCAGATGCAGGGTCCTGCACCTGGGGAAGAATAACCCTAAGAACCAGCACAGGCTGGGGGCTCAGCTGTTGGAAAGCAGCTCTGCAGAGAAAGATCTGGCAGTCCAGGTGGACAACAAGCCATCCATGAGCCAGCAGAGTGCCCTGGGGACCAAGGAGACCAAAGGTATCCTGGGGGGCATTAGGAAGAGCATTGCCAGCAGCTCAAGGGAGCTGATCCTGCCCCTCTGCTCAGCCCTGGTGAGGCCTCACCTGGAGTGCTGTGTCCAGTTCTTGGCTACCCAGTATGGGACAGACAGGGAGCTCCTGAGTGGGTCCAGCAGATGGCAACAAAGATGATTGAAAAACTTATGAGGAAAGGCTGAGGGAGCTGCGCCTGCTAGAGACAGCTGGAGCCAGACTCTTCTCAGTGGTGATGAGCAATAGGACAGAAAGCAGAAACTGATGCCCAGGGTGTTCCACCTGAATATGAGGAGGATCTCTGCTGTGCAACTGACCATGCACTAGGACAGAGTGTCTAGGGAGGTTGTGGAGTCTCTCTGACTGGAAATATTCAAGAACCATCTGGATACAATCCTGGGCAATGTTGTCTAGGATGACCCTGTTTGAACAGGGAGGTTGGACAAGATGACCCACTGTGGTCATTTCCAACCCATTCTGTGATTCCTGTGGTCTATTAATTCTCAGTTGTAGCCACTTAAATACAGAAAATATTCTTCCTAAGCAAAAAATTAAGATATTAAAAAATCATTAAAATTAAAACATCCGTGTGTGAATTCTAGTTATTTTCACGTGAGTTTCACTTAGTTTTATAAAATAGGAATTTACTTGCAATTCTATATTCTTATCTCTTTTTTATAATAGAGGATATTTATTTTTCGTAGAGTGAGGAACTGCTTGCTTTATTTCCACTTAGGTAATCTGCCATTCCCTGAAAACTGTAGTGTTTGCAGTTATCTGAGTTCTGTTTGACTTGAATGCTCTTCCAGGTACAGTAGCTTCACCTTACCTTCTTTGAGGTAGGAGTCATCTCATTGATTGTCTTGAGTAAAAGGAAATGGCTCATGCATCTTTCGTACATTATAACAAATGTCCTTTTGCATTATAATTGAATGGTGATTGTTGTGTTCAATCAATGAGAAAGGTTAAGGGAGCTTCTCTGCCAGCATTTTTAATGGAGAAGTCGATTAAGATTCAGTTTAATCATTCTGGCTGCTTCAGAATTAAAGCAACAAAGACCATCAATGGCACTATAATTACCAGTCTTTCTGTAAGTTTACACTGCCATTTATGCAGCCATAAATTTTGTTATAATGCTCAATGTGACCAGGTTAACTTGCTTTGTTTGTAATGCAAAATATTTCCCTTAATTGCGTTGTGGATAAGAAATAGTTGTGATGAAGTATATATAATGCAGCCTAATAGAAAAGAGAAAAAAGAAAAACTAAAACCAACCACTCTATAGAGACTGACTGAGGTGAATCAGCCTGATGGCTTGTGTTAAATAGTTTAAAGTCATGGCCTTAACCTTGGGACACTAGAGACATATTTTACTTCATTGAACATGGAGACTAGCATCACTCCCAGGTGAGTAAAAAGGGTCAAATATATTATTCTAATCCCTGTTCCAAACAGAGAAAAGGTCATTATACACTACCTATTGCATGCTGCCAAAGAGTGAAAAATTCACATTGGGGACATGGGTGCAAATCTATTTTAGACATGGCCTTTAAAATGTTACTGAAATGAATGATTATGTGGTTTTGAACAAGGAAAAAAATCTTGAAATTGATCTCGTTTATTAATTAGTTTGAGCTTATAAAGGTCTTACTATAAATAGCTGGAAGACTAGAAGAAATTGCTCATTTCAAAAGAGAGCGAGGCCATAAAAAAAATTGTTTTCTTGTAAAATTAATACCTATAGGTATGGTTATCCATTTAATAAATGATTCTGAATATAAGATGACAGGAGATCTTGATTTTCCAGCTCTTCCAGTAAATTAGAGACACAGGACACAGAATACTTTTGCTACTTTTCTTTCTTCTTTTTTTTTTTCCACCTTTTCTCCATAGGAATTTCATTCAAAAGGCACTGAGGTCTTTTTTTCTCCACAGAGAGGAGAAGCTTTGACCAAATTTCTCACTAACTCAGAAGTATGCTTTCTCGATGCAGAAGCACAATTTCCAGAGCTCATGGAATCATAAAATGGTTTGGGTTGAAAGGGACCTTAAAAATCATCTCGTTTCAATTCTCTGCCCTTGGCAGGGACAACTTCCATTAGACCAGGTTGCTCAAAGACTCATCCAACCTGGTCTTGATGGGTCCATATATAATAGAGAAAAAAAACTATTCCTCCTATGTGTATAGGTATGTAGATGCTTTTTTTCCCCCCTACAAACTCATATTTTATTGAAAGCTTCTCTTCCTGATGAGCTAATTAAATTTTTATTTCATATTATCTAGCAAAGCTATTTGTAAAGTTGCAGGAAGACCACAAACAGTTTAGTTCCATATTAGAATCATCTGGATTCAGCCTCAAATGTCAGTTTTTGAGAAATGTATAGCGGCCCATCTAAAAGGAAAAATTCCTTCATCGAGGTTAAAAAAAATACTGTTGTAATTTTTTCCTATTCACTTCTATTACTTTTTATTTCTATTAATGGCATGTTTTCTACCTTGTAGTTGTGCATTTTAACTAAAGATCAGTTGTATTGCACCTATAGCTTGAAGGTTGCTATTATCCTACAAGAGCTTTTTCTTCCTTTTCAGCAGATCATAAACTAGTTAAAGAGGATCATCTGACTAACAGCAGTTACTGAATGATAATTAAAACAAATTAAAATATCATATCACATAAAAATTATTCAGTGCACAACTCCCGAGCTTGCTATTTCCTGCATAATTTAGTCTTCTTGGAAAGCTGGGCTTGAAGGTGTAATCAAAGATATTGATATACACAAATCTGGACCTCCTACTGGCTGTAAGACTTCATGTACACATGGTAGTAAGGTACTGTTCTTTAATGTATTTCTGTACCAAGCCAGCTCTTTCTGTTACAGGAAATTATGAAAACCACTAAAGAAGACAATTAAAAAATCTAATTCCTTAAATCTGTCTCCAAAGAGCTAAAGACAAACATGCAAATCAGCTGTTTATGAAACATTCATGTTTGAATTTAAAAGGCATATCAGTATACAGTGAGCATCAGTGATACTAAGTCAGAAGCTTAATCCTCTAAAGAAAACAAAACTCATACAGTGCGTAGGCAGCCTGGCACGGTTCCTCCAGATTTCATACATGCGAATTAGGGTGCGGAGGCTATACTTAATGTAAAAATAAGATTGACTAATCTATTTGAGTGCTTACTGCCTTGTAAGCAGAGAAAAGAGTTGCCTGCCAGAATGGAAATCATATGGGCCGGGAATTCCCCTTCTGTTGACCACAGAAGGTATAGGCATAATCCATCAAGAACAGAATGCATGCCATACTTTGTTCATTAGCATTTAAAGAGGATGTTTGGCATCAGACAACAAATACAATTCTTGCAAGAACTTGGCAGCGGACTGTTTGTCAGTTAATGACAATCCACAGCTTTTTCAAGGAAATACTAAATGTTCCCAGGGTTATTTCTGAATTCTTTTCAGCATTAAGCTTGAAGTGGGGCTAATACATTTGTACAGGAGTGACCAACTTCCAATAGAAAACATCAGTTCTGAACCAGAAGTTGAAACAGATTTGTTGGCAACACATCAACAAATTATAATGGAATTACAGGATGTGTGATATCACATATCTTATCTTTACATTTATGCATTTCCTAAAATACTCCAGTGTGTTCAGCATAGAATACAGTCTTGAAAATTATGCATATGATTTAAGAATACAGTCTTGAAAATTATGCATATGATTTAGGACTTGGACATCAATACAGAGGGTGTGATGAAATACAATGAGAAAAAATATGTGTATTTAAAGGAAAAAAGCCCCAAAGTTTTTTTATCATTAAGTTATCATCAGTGGGGGAGAGGGGAGTGTTGTTAATTGCTCTACCTATCTTTTCTCTTTCTCTCTTTTTTTGGTCATAGTTTAGAACAAATTACCAAGCCCAAATGTAGATCAGATGCATAGCTGTGATGCTACAAGTTACATTGTTTTGTAAGTGCTGCAGATTTTTTTATTTTGTCTTTCTATTGTTAAGGCAGAAAATATTTGCTGTCTCAGGAAGAAGAATTTTGTCTTTAACATTCCATACAACAAAGCTGCCAGTCACTGTTACCTTTGCTTTTTTTCCCTTTTTCTTTTTTTCCTTTTCCTTTATATATCCACTCAGAGAATATTCTCAATTAAAGCAATGTATTAAGCAATGAAGTAATCTAGAATCTGACAGAGTTGGTCTTATTCAAGAATTCTTGAATTTCAAGTTTCACTGCTAAAGTAGCATATAGATTTTAAACTGAAAATGTACTCCTTTTAGTCTTGAGGATACCTCTGATGGAAACCTTCCAGGGAGGCTATCAATAAATTATGTTTACATACACTTGAAAATACTTTCACATTGAAGAAGTCCTGGAAAAAAGTCTGAGGGTAAATGAGTTTGCATCAGCAAACTTTTCTTTCAAAATTTCATTTACCCTGAAAATGAGTTAATAAGTGCACAAGTGGGTCCTATATCCCAAGAATTTCATTGCTGAAGAAGGGTGATAGCAGATCATTCCTGAATTAAATGATTCTATGATTTTCTACAATGTAAATATGGGTTACTTACAGTTCAGGAAGCATGTTAACATTGAGGGAGGAAAATATGATAATCAGAGATACTATATAACCTTGTAGCTGATCTGCTTCATGCAGAGAAGTGCAGAAAAGTCAAGGTAGCATTTTTACATGCTGGAAGTTGGACTACAACTGACTAAGGATCATTATGATACACACCAACATTCAGACTGATGGCATACCATAAAGCACTGTCCTGGTTTTTGCTGATGGTATAATTGTGTTAGTCACATTTAGTTAACACACTTAGCTACAATCACACTTTAATCTGCTGTAAGAGAGGTATCCTGTAGCCAGCCTCATTGCAAGGGCTGTAGGACAGGATGATCCAACTGAGAAGTCAGAATCCCCATCAGCTCACAAGATAAGACAACTGTGCTGCTGCTTTCATGCAAAACCATATCAGCGCAGCCACAAAACAGAAAGGAAGTCATACTTGGGAAAATAGGAAGTATGGGTCACTCTGCTGGTGCCTGGAGCTTAGATGGTGGATTTGTTTCTGGTTCTGCTACAGGCTTCCTGTGCTCTCTTGGTAAACTAGGAGTTTTCCCATTATCTTGCAGAAATAACAGGTCTTCACTTCTTCACACACATATGGACGATAAGGACTCTAAAGACTGAGAGACACAAAGAATTTATGATTCTGCAGAGCAGAATTTATATCCATAAAATATATAGAAAGATAATCTATTATGCATAAATCAGAACCAAACAAAGAATATTAAAGCAAATGCATCTATACAGTCAGAATGGGTGGAAGTCATCCAGCTGAACATCAAATCTCTGACCTTGTCCAAACTTTTCTTTATAATGAATAGAAAACTATAGCCACCTCTAGAGCACAGTTCATCTAACCAAACACAGTCTCTGGAATAAGATATTTTGCTGTATTGCTCTCCACTGACTATAAAGAGCCTACAATCATTAGCTCACCTCTAGACAACCACACTTATTTGAATCCAGTCCTCAGACTGTAAAAGAACAAGAAGCACTCTCTAAATGCAAGAGCTGCTTTTTAGCAGCATTTTCTTACCACAGTGTGTTTTGTAAGTCAGATTGGTGAGCAATATGACACTGGGTAAGGCCTCAGTCTTGGGCAGCATTTTAGGCTCTGGGATGTGCAGTGTGGAATTTGAAGATCAAAAGGGAAAGATCTGGAAGAGATATAAATGCTTTACATGTTGGCTGCCAGAAAAAGCAACACTGTTAATTTATATTGTTTTGGAATTAATAATGTTCTACATTTTTGTGCACATCCTTTTTGGCCCCACAAATCAATTATTGGGAATCAGGAATTCACAATAAAATCATAATTTCATGTTAACAAGAATCTGAACCTGCACATGTCAAGGTAAGAAAGAGTAGAAGTACATTATGCAGAATGACTGGCAATCATAGGCTGAGGTAGAGTGATCATCCAATTAAATCATAGAATATTAAAAAGGTCAAAGTAATATAGACCTAGCCTAATTAATAGACAATGAGATAAAATTCTGCTTCTCACTTTTCAGTGTAGTCCAGTCCTGAAAACAAAGTACCTACTTTATTTATGGAAGTAGTTCCTTTGACATCAGGGTACTTCATAAAGGCATGTGGCTCCCTGTCTGTGGATTACCTTGCACAGTCACTGTCTAAGACTTTAGTACTTCTATACTGTTCAGGTAGTTTCACTAGAATACTTAATTTTTTCTATTCCTTATCTGCATTTTATAAGGAAGCTCATATAATCCTTTTTGTCTTCATGAACAGTAGATAAAGATTAAACCCTTTAAAACTTCATTAATATGTTGTCCTAATGATATCAAAGGTATAGTATAATTCAAACGTCAGTTCTGTGTCTGTCTTCCGTGGTTTATGTGGATTTCTATTAATATTTAATTTGGTTCATTACCTTATTTATTGTGTGTTGGTTAAAGGAATTCGAAGATGGAGGTGCTGTGTTAACATAAAAGTCTCCTCACACTGAAGCAGGAACCAAATATGATGCATGCACAATAATGCTGGGACTTTGTTTATAATAAACATTTTAAATGACTGACTTTTTCTCTACTAATACTCTAAGTAGGATGATCTATGAGATTTCTAATTTATTCTTGTTTAAAATTTAACCATGCTTTTTTAAAGCATATCAATTTTGTTAATACCATGTAATTAAAACATGTCAGTGCACAGCAAGTTTTAGTCTAAATTAATGACTATGAGAATTATTTTAATTAAATAACCAATTATAGAAAAATCGCAAGCATGAGAGCTGACATTTAAATGAATTTCATTTAAATTGCTTCTTAACATTGTCCCATCTAGGACACTAATGCAAAATGAACTATTGTATCAACATAGATTATCACTATTTTTGTATGCATATAATGTATTCATATTCAATCACTGGAACAGAGCTGAATATTTTGTATTGATCTGAAATGTCTATGAACAAAATACAAGAGAATAAGCTGAAGTAGAAACAAAAATCCCCTGAAGTACTGTGACACCGTACAGCTATGTTTCTCATTTGCACAAATATATTTTCATATTTCAGTTCTTTGTTCACTTACAAAGTCTGTTTTCCATTTAATGTAAGGTGAACTTCGAAAATTGCGGTGTTTTCAAGTGACTTTAAATTCTATCTCTCTTGTAAATACACATGAAAAATCATGATGGGCTGGATATTCAGTTTTCATTTTGGATTTTAAAAAGATCTGTTAAAACGTTTGCTGGAATATGTTTTGCTCACTTTCAACTGGAAAGTATAGCCTACAAAGTTAAATAAATTACTTTTTTTCACTGCATAAATTGTTACTGCATTTGTCTAACAATCACATTCGATTTAATCAGATGCATGATGTAAACTGTGCCAGGAAACTCCTGAAGCTATATTTGAAAGTGAGTAACAGTATAATACATTGCAAAATTATTTTTCTCTGCTGTAGCTTTAAAGATGTCACAGGAAAAGAGGGAAAAGAGAATCCTGCATTTTTGTTCATTGATTAACCAGTAATGTTATGTATAAATAATGTATCTGACAGTATGGCAGCCCACTTGGGACATTGTGCCATTTACTACAAAATAGGATGCAACATGCAACTGAGCAGCAAGAACAAATTAAACATCTTTCCTCAGTAACTTCAGCATTTTTATTAGGTGGTAAACATCACAGTGAGAAGAAAAGCAGATGTAGATATTTCAACAGTATTAACCTTAATCTAAGTAGAGACACAAAATAATATTTATACATTCTGAAAAATGCTTAACTTGTATAAGAGATGTGTTGTCATTTTGTGGAAATACTGTGGAAACTAGTTGATATAGCCATGGTATAAAACCAGAATTTTATTCCAGGGTATCACAACTGAATTCAGCGAAGTATTATATATAATTTTCTCATGTTAACTTGTAACACAGAGATATCACTGCAGTTATGTACTGAAGAATTTGCAAATTTTCTTTTTAAAACTACTGCCCTTGTGATGTGCTGGTATTCCAATTCAAATTAAATTAATATATTAGAACTTGTTATTGTCATTATTTTTTTGTAAAAGAAGAAAAAAGAAATTTTTTTGTCTGACAAAAGTTGAGTTTATAATCAGATATTTATCTCCATGTTCATACATGATCATTTTTCATTATTTTATCCCAAACAAGTACAAAAACAAACAAACAAAAAACCCAACAAGCAAAAAAACCTTTATCAAAATAAAAATATTGAACAGAAATTTTATGTATTATCACTGAAAACAATGGAATTTGTACTCTTAAATTATTGCAGAGGAGTTAGGTAAGACAAATCTTAATAAAAAACACCAAGATGTCAGCCCAGCTCCCTTTGCCTACTATGGAATTTCCAATCACTGCATTAAATATTGTTAAATGGAACAAGTGAGTATTATTTAACATGATTCAATACCCTAGACCCTGAATTTGTAACTGTTATCACTAAATCATGTGATCACTAAATCAAAGTATCTTTCTGTGTATTGAGCTAAATACCCAATTTAGACTCTCGACTCGTTGTCCTTTTTACATACTGCAAAAGCTGCAGCAGTTTATTTCATATCTACAGAATAATTAATCTAATATTCCCTCATACTTAATAGTTACAATGGTTAATGTTTATACCTGAGGTAATTCCCATTGCACAGTGAAGAGGATTATCCACTTGATTAAAAATAAATCTTTTCACCCCTGCACTTGAATGTGTACCTCCCTGGGGAAGCTGACCATAATTTCTCTCTTGCTGTACCTCATTCTACAAGTGATGAGCCCATTTTGCATGGCCAATATTGCATGTAACATTGGGCTTTAAACAGGACAGTAATTCAAAAAGGGTTGGTTTTTTCTTCCCAGGATCAAATTCCTTGGTTGTTGTTGCTAAAACCTGAAATTCATCATTTATTTCCCAAAGTTGCAGCTTATGAGATGCTGCAGTTGTTTTTATCTCAGAACATGAAATAAGCTCAGCTGGAATGGTAGTAACTGGAGATGTAACAAATGGAAAATAGTTGCTGACAGAAATAGGGAATGAGAAAGACAAAAAGGCAGGGACTGAAGAGACAAAGGGCAAAGTTTATCAGGCTGATTTCAGCATCCAAAGGAGATTGGCACCTGAACTGGAGTTCACAATAGGTGACATCCTTACCAATTGAGGAGCTGTGCTAAACGCCTCTGTGACTCCTGACCCCAAAGCTGCACAGGTGCCTAAGCAGGTTGGGAAAGTCATTTGTGCGCAAACAAGCTCCTAATTGCAACTCACCAGCCCTGTAAATTTTCAAATTATTTGTTGTACCTGGTTGAATATACTTATTTTGTAAATGCTAGACCATGTTAAATGGACACATGCTTAAGGTGACTCAAAGGAAAGGCAGCTTCATGCTCAACTCATAGGTTGCCTGTGAGTCATATATGTCTGCTTCAGAAACAATTGTATGCTTTGACTTTGATTTGTAACTCTTTTCTTTTTTTTTATTACCAGACCCAACAGCTCTGAGGGAGAAAGCTGGATGCAAGTCAATCTCATATGTCATCAGCAAAGCTATTCTATCTCCCAAGTTTCCCTCTGGAATGCCAAATGCCTCCCTTATTTGCACTTTCACAAACCTGCTGGAGACAAGGTGTCTACTCAATTGTAACAATTTGGCCTGAGAAAACTTTATTGTTGACAGTGATTTTCAGAACCCAGTACAAGGTTTTCAGTGCTGGCACTTAAAAAGAAAAACATTTTTATGCCCGGTCTGAGTAAAACTTATGCAAATTCAGAGACAGAGCAAACAGAGAAAGCCACCGCGCATTTTTGCAATACTTCATTTCAGAACTAGTTTCCTCGTCACCAACAAAAGCAGCCCTATAAATCAGTCCAGAATGATCATTAGTCACATGATGATTCATACATCTTTGAGGAAGGCTCTGCAGAGGGAGCTGGACAGGCTGGATCAATGAGCCCATACCAACTATGTGTAGGTCACAACAACCCCATGCAGTCTGGGGGCAGAGTGACTGCAGAGCTGCCCAGTAGAAAAGGACCTGGGGCTGTTGGTGGACAGTGGCTGAACAGGAGCCAGTCTGTGCCCAGGTGGCCAGGAAGACCAGTGGCATCCAGGCCTGTGTCAGCAATGGTGTGGCCAGCAGCACCAGGGCAGGGATTGTCCCCCTGTGCTCGGAGCTGGTGAGGCCACACCTTTTGGTGCTGTGTCAGTTCTGGGCCACTCACTGCAAAAGGACGCTGAGGTGCTGGAGTGTGTCCAGAGAAGGTCAATAAAACTGTGAAGGATCTGGAGCGCAAGTCCTATGAGTAATGGCTGAGTGAGATGGGGTTGTTCAGCCTGCAGAAAAGGAGATTTGGGAGTTACTTTATTACTCTCTACAACTGCCTGAAAGGAGGCCAGGGATCAGTCTCTACTCCTCTACAGGACAAGAGGAAATTGTCTGTAGCTGTATCAGTGGAGGTTCAGGCTGGACATCAGGAGGAGTTTCTTCACAGAAAGGGTTATTAAACACCGTCATGGAATTCATGGGGAGATGGTGGAGTCACCATCCCTGGAGGTGTTCAAGAAACAACTGGACATGGCACTTAGTGCCATGGTCTATTTGATAATGTGGTGGTCAGTTAAAAGCTGGACTTGATCTCAGCTTTTCCAATATAAATGATTCTGCAATTCTGTCATTTGTAATAGACTTAAGCAAACTTTCTGAAGAGTCTGGTAAGCTTCCTAAGAGTCTGAAGAAAGCTAGGGAATGTGCTGCTGTATTTGCATCAAGGAAATCATCTTTGTCCACTGAAAGAACAAATCTAGGCATAATGACAGATGAGAAAACATTCACAATATTCTATTGCAGTAGACAATTATGGTAACAAATCAGGGCAGATTTTCTCTTCAAAAATGATTATTTCCTAGGTTTTCTTGCCTAGTTCTGCCAAAAGTCCATACATAATGCGGTGATGGATGCTATATAAAAGTTCAAGAGAGAACACCAGCAGCACTAACTTCTGCATGGCATTCTTGTACCTAACACTTTAGACCACACTGAACAGAATTTCTTGTATATATGCAATTTTGCATAAGTGCCACGGGGCGCAATCTTGACAACCTTGATAAGCTCTAAAGGATGTCCCAACTAAATGGTGAGCACCAGTGTTCAGATTTACAGCAGTATTTTAACTGTATTTGTGTTTGTGAGGGGAAGGAAAATCATGCCATCTCCTGGTTTATATGCTATTCAGTCAGTTACCTACGTGCTCACTACTAATACACTCACATCTCAATTGTTGTTTCTGTTTAGTGTCTAGACTTCTCCAAACACAGATTTTCAGTCAACTATTCTGGGAGTAATTTAATCATTTCTAAATGACCTGCAGAATAGATTTTAATAAGAATACCCAAAACTAATACAGACAACTGAAGAGATAATGGAAATACAAAAGATCCTTGTGAAGTTCTCGCTTACAAAAGGACACTGTGTTTCACAACTGAATTTGTCTGCCTTCAGATTTCTGCTATTGGGTCTTTTTCTCTCTCTCTTCTCTTTCCTTTTCTGCTATATTAAGAATGTTTTCTACTTGCAAAAGCCTTCTCTCCAAATGAGATACATGTTCATTACAGCCATGTTGAGTATTTTTCCTCTATGGAAATGAAACAACTTGAGCTCTTTAAGCTTACCACTCTTCAACTTAATCTCTTTTGAAGCTTCTTTTTAGAACTTCTCTCTGATTTCTCTTGCAACTATCAAGTGTGACAGAAAAACTGGGCACAGTATCCCTCTATTACATTTTTTTCAATGTAACAAAAAGATTCACACTTGCTTCTCAGCACCCTATTTCTGAAATGCTTCAGGATTTCATGCTCAGATGAACCTCATGACATCCTCTATCCCTCAGCTGGAAGCTTCTGCCTCCCATTCCTGAAACACAGCTGCTTATCATGCACATGATCCTGTTTTGTATACGGAGTAAAATAAGGCTGCCAATTACTGTCTTCTGGCCCAGGCACAACAATACATGAGCTGTTCCAAGAGTGTCATGAAAATTATATGAGAACTCTCCAGATTAGCTCTCAAATTATCACAATGGAAGGTAGCAATTCACAGAACGAAAGACTAACTCAAGCTGGAGGAGACCCATAAGGATCATCAAGTCCAACTCCCCACTCTAACCTCTAATACGTTTTCAGTCACAGGGCACAATTTTTTTTCATTTAAGTGTGACATTTCTGCTCTGTTTAGAGATGGAATAAGTTTGCATTTGACTCTACTAAACATAGTTTGCTCTGTATGAAGTTATTATATACTAAACAACTTTAGGGGAGAGTTTGTATTACTGCTGTCACTGGTATAGCCTGTAGGAAAAGCATATGGTAGTAGTTTGGGTTTATCTAAATGTAGAAGAAAATATACTCTTTTTATTTCTTCCATCTCAGTTAATGGTAAATTATTATCTGTTTATTCATTACTCTTATTACTTCATCTTATTTTTGTGGCAAGGAATAAGAATCCTGCCAACAAGAGTTTAAACAGAGGGACAGACTCTTATCTACATATTTACTACCTAAACAAGAGTGTTCACCTAGCAACTTGAACATGTATTTTGATCTTAAATTAAGACCTTGATAGAAAATAGAAAATAAAGATATTTCAGGAATACCATATGTTTAAAAGGCAATCCTGTAGCCTAAATTCATTCTATGTGACTTGACACCAAACACATAGACAAAGAGAAAGAAGTAGTCACTTTCACATGGCAATTCTAACTTTAGATAAGCTGAACTGTTGTATTTACAGGAGCAGAAGAGGAATGTTCTTAGAATTTCTTCTGCTGGTTGAGCTGAAGAATTAATGGCAGTTGGCAAAAAATAAGTGGCAACAAAAGTAAGAAGGTAGCAGAAGGCATTAAGAAGAAAGTGAGGTCGTTATGCTTTCCACATTTGGAAACCATTGGAGCAGGCAATTACAGAGACAGCAAATGGATTTAAACTTCCAGTCTTTTGTCAAACTAAAAAGGATTTGAACAGAAAATGAGTAGGCGAGAAGTTAGGTGTATTTTAGGTCTAAGTCCATCTGCTGGCAAGTCCAAAGTCAGCCCAAAGAAAATCATGCTTTTGAATCATCACAATAATGGTAGATCACCTTACTTAGCAATGAAAATAAATTAAGCAAAAGATTTGTTGGAATCCAGTGCCAAAAAGTGAAATCCATAACCTCGGATGATAGGAGATTCAGCAGATGCATTGGGAAACAGCTTTCATTTCTGCTTGCTGTGCACAGCTTTTTAGCATTGCATTGATTGCTCCAATCTACTGTCATAATTAAAAATTTAAGATAATATAATAATATAATTCTTAATATTATATAATTTTAAAATTAAGGCTATTTAAAAGCAAACTGAAATCTTTTGCAGTTTCATAAAATTATGTGCCGTTATGCTCCTGGAAGGAGCAGGGAGTTGGACTCAGTGATCCTTATTGGTCCCTTTCAACATGAGATATTCCATGATCCTATTATTCTATTAATTGCCATCGAACTTATACCTATCTTTTTTCCATTTAGACTACTGGTAGCTTGAAGTTAGATATGGGAGTTATACAGGATCAGACTTACATGCTTACTCTTCTAAAGTTTTCCCACATTGTTGCTAAAATCCTTTTGCATATACTGTTTTTAATGTTTATGGACCACTTAAAATAAATTTTATCAATAATCCTATAATAATCCTGTCTGATGAAGGTAATGAAGTCTATGGCAACAATAAATAAGGTGCCCACAATTCCACAAGAAGTGATTAGCTGCCCCTAGCAATGATTTTTGGCATTCAAGATACTTTCTAAGGATGCAGAAAAATAGGACAGGGTTGTAGCTCTTCACATTGGTAATAAACTATTCCACAAATAAACATTTGCTCAGTTTCCTTCTCAGTAAAATTACCTTTAGTGCTTGCATAGATTTTCCAATACATAGGTCAATCTGTCCTAACCTTTTCTGAAGGAAAATGAGAAATGAACAATGTAAGACATATGTAATGGCACTGTTTGCAAACACCAAAGAGCAGAAGAATCAAGAACTGCAATATAAAGCTATCAATTAATTTTGTTGTAACTGTATGCACCTGTGAACAACTGCTTAATTAAAGAGGCAAACAGAAATCTCTCACAATAATGTTTCAAATTACTTACATTTATGTGACTCAATTAGTTGGAGTGGATAAATACAATTGGAAAGCTGCCATGTGGACTTCTGGAAATAAAGAAAAGATAGAACTGAAGAGATACAAAACCAAATGGGAGGAATCAGGCAGATAAATACAGATAATTCTCAGAGGTTCTTAGGACTATATGAACAGAGAAGATAAAAGAAAAAGATTCTGTGCAAATATACATAAATATCTCATTTACTGTCACAGAGGTCTGTGTTCACAGATAGGAATATTAAGGGGATTGTTTGGTTTGGTCAGAATATGCACAGGGCTCAGATTTGTTTTCATTTTGCTGTGAGATGTATTTATCGAATTCCTTTCCCCTTAGGGAGTGGCACTCTGATGTTTTGGACATAGTAGAGTGTCTTGCCTACCTTCTAAATATCCCTCCAAAAAAGCACAGGCCTTCCACAATCTCTGGCCTATCTGGTTGCCTAAATGCCTCAGATACCTTGCAGATGTTTGCATCAGGAGTGCATTTCTGAAACAATCTCCTACAGGTTCCCTTTTTGTAAGCTGCAGTTTCCATTACAAAGGGGTTCCAATGCCAGGGAACCAAGTTTGGGAGAGTCTAAACTAAACTAGAGAGTGCTTTCCACATGAGCACACCAAGTTCACCCTCTCAGACCAGACTACAAATAGTCCACAATGAAAACGTGTGAGATGAAAGTGGTGGGGACATGGAGTCTTGAGCACTGCAAGAGTGTTCCTTTTGGATTTCATGAGCTCCTGATGCAGACATAGCCTAAGGCATTTAAAATTACAGCAGACACATTAGACAGTTGAATTCCTTCTTTATTTTCATCTGCCTGCTTCAGAATAGGATTTAACCTCGTATATGTGCAAGCCCATTGCTGAAAATACCTTTTCCTCACCTCCATCTGCAGTTCAGTATTGCTCAGCAGCAGTTCAGGAAAGCCTGCTGCTGACAGACACTGTCTGCTATGGGATGTTTTATTAACATTGAATGATTGACACTGGGAGATGGTTAAACAAACTGGGCTTTCCCTTCCTGAGAAGGCTCATTTGGAAATGGTAGAGAGGATAAGAGGCAGGATGGATTACACTTCAAAGTTCTCTCAGGTGTAGGGTCCTAAATCTGTTCTAGATATTGCTTGTTAACTCTGTCTTCTAAACACAACCCCTTATACTTCTTAAAAATAATATTTAAAAATACCTGTCTTACCTTATCTGACAGTCCCAGGCATTTTGTTTCTTAAAGAGTGGCCAAGTACACCTGACTTGGTATTTGGTCAATGATTTGTACACGTACAAATTGTCACTGAGCAGTGGGATATTCTTCCAGCTGGGGAGGGGAGCAAATATCCAGGGCAGAAGATATTGCTGAAAGCCAAGAGGCAAGATGATTATTTTCTGTGGAAAAAGAAAATCATTAAGCCATGTACCATCTTGGACTTATATTCAACAAAGGCATCAGTTGTTTGGGTTTTTTCTCTGTCACTCTGGAATACTTCCTAACGTGTTGGTTTATAACAGATAGGCTTTCAATATTTCAAAAGTTGCTCTCTTAATATTTTTGAAATTTGCATTGAAATGAGTTTTATTAAGACATAATATTCATGGGTTTTGAAAGAATATCTGTCCATTTGAGGCAGAAGGCCAATGTATTTTCAATGTTTCATGGCACCATTTTCACTATGCTGGTTTATCAAAATTACTATATACTTAATTTTCCTTCTTTCTTTCCTTCTTTACTTTTGATTTCCCTCACCTTTTCTACTTTTCATTTTTTGTAACTGCAGCTTGAAAATCTTATTTTTCATCATAATAATTACTTAGGTTTTTAGTTTAATTCTGTGTTTTCCATTTAGAGCAAGGTCATAAGGTACATATAGCTGACCCTACTGTTATTTCCCTTTGCAAAAAATCAAATCATGCAGATAAAGGCAAAGGACCCAAATAGATTTGTTAACCAACCCAATCTGGCTAGGAAAATCTACCTGCAACCTATGAACAAAACTCCTGACACTTCTAATTGAAGTCAACTACCCAGCTGACAGGCAAATATGCTTTTGAGGGCTCTTTTGCTGCTGTGATGATAGCATCTTGAGGTTGTTCCCAGATGGAGGGGAGGGAGGTAGAATCGAGAGTCAGAGAGTGTGACAGTCGCTCATCTATCTTGGAAATACTGAGAAACTTGGAAATGTGAATTAAATTAGGCTGTGCTTCCATGAACACTTTAACTTAAGTACAAAATGCTGCTAAAGAAGATGATCCCTCCAACCTCTCCTCTCTGTCTCACTGTTCCCACCATTTCCCTTGTGCCAGCACGTGAGATCTGATGGCTACCTTCTTAGAGAGATCTGGGAATTGGTCCAACACCCAGCTTCCCAAGCACTAAAACTTTTGAGTTGGACCAGTTCCTTTTGCATAAATGCTAATGGGAGGTGTGGGAGTGGAAAGTGTGGGCAGAGGAAGAACCAGGGGATTTGGCACTTTCAGTAGTAGTTCGGGTTTAAGTCACCTCAATGCCATTGTAAACCACAGTATGAGTTTCTCACAGGGCTGTGAGTGCAGCCCTGAGCCAACAGGACTGAAAGCCAGCACTGCTCTTCACAGACAGCAAATATGTAGTCCTAGGATAACTTGGGAGAAAGCTTCCACTTTTAGCACTTGCTGCAGTTATTTTAAGCCTAGTCAAACTGATGTAAACTACATTGCAATCTCAAAGATGAATTGTGATAGCAAAAGGAGCTTTTTAAAACAAGTGAGAACAACTATTTCAAATTAATAAAATTAGAAAAATCCCATGCTTTTTTACATTTTAATCTTTCTTTTTATGTTTGCGCATGTGTATTTGTTTTGGGGGACAAAGGACTCAGGTGTCATACCTATTAAATGAACAGAAAGTTGTTTCTGTTGATGCCTATTTTGATCACTACTGATCTAATCAAACTACACTTGTTTTAAAAAGAGAATGTAGGAATAAGGGAAACTAATGTTGTCATAAGAAATATACATGAATATAGTTTCCTATCTACTTTTGAGTGATAGATAATTGTTGTTTTTCTTCTCCATACTAGATATCTATGTGCTACACATCAGTCACAAACCAAGCAAAGGTCCCTTGTCAAAAACCTGGGCATTTTGAAAGTTTGTCTCTGCTTTCCAGCACAGCAAAAAAGACCTTCAGTTATTTCCTCCTGTTCAATGCAACGGTGAAGACGACAGAATTTGCAAGCTATTTGTACAACTGCTATCCATAATGGTGAGAGGCATGACAAGGTTGCACACTTTCAGCACAGTAACCCACTGGAGTCCCATAACATGTCATTGAGCAGAGTGCAGAGCGCAAGGCTGAACCTGTGCAACCTGTAGGACTCTGACCCTCTGTGGTGTCTGCTTTGCATTCCAGAGTGAAGGCTGAGGAGCAGAATACTGTATTGCATTCTTTCTTTTCTTCCAATATGTCCTCAGCCTAATTTCAGTGGCTGGGCAGCTGTAGGAATACTGATGAGTCAAAAGAGGAATGAGTCTTTAAGGTGAAAATTGTGCCCTGTTCACAAAAGTTAATTCCTTCCTTCCTTCCTTCCTTCCTTCCTTCCTTCCTTCCTGCCTTCCTGCCTTCCTGCCTTCCTCCCTCCCTCCCTCCCTCCCTCCCTTCTCTACAGTTCATATGTGGGACCACCAAGGACTTGTCAGAAAGGGAAGGAAATGCACATACCTGAAATGAAATTAAATCCTTTTGACCAAACACAGATATATATCCAGTGAATTGGTCATTCAAGCTCCTGTTATTAGATGCTCCTGGGCTGCAATTCACTTCATTTTGAAGCAGAAGTCTACAATAGGTCAGGTGAGGGGAGACTAGCAAAATGTGTTTTGTTGCACTGACTGTAAAGGATGATTAATAAAGTAGGCAATTGCAGCACAGGGATCTAAATCTGGGCAGCAGGAATCCTATCACTGACTACAAAATTTGTTCTTAACTATCATCTTCATCATGCTAATCTCTAATAAAACAAAAGATAATAAGCAAATCCTTAAAGACCATTTTTGGCTCCAAGTTTGTGTGGACTTACCCATGGCATTCAAATATGCCACAAATTAATTGAAGTTTTTGAAAAAAAAAAAAAAAAACCACATTTCCCATAATCCCACTGTTATTAACTTGACTAAATCTGCTAATTTTCATCCTAAAGATTATTCCAAAAGCAATGATCCTGGTGGAGGTGTATGTAGAAGTGATCAATGAATGAAAAATACATAGAAACTTTTCAGGTTTTCAAGAAAGACCTCTGTTCGTTTTTCCCTCAAGTGCTAAGTAAAACTTTAATTTGGATAGGTTTGGCAAGAAAAATGTCTTACTTAAAAGAGTTCAACTGCAATGCCTGTTTCTTCACAGGCATATATTGATTCTTCCTTGCAAAATATTGCTTCCATTTAAGTTCTGAAATTCAAAATCAGTTTTCAATGGCAAAATATTGTTTGTTCAGTGTTCTGTTTTCAGAATCCTTTTGTGCTACAAAGGCATTTCACCGTTATTCTCCCTGGTTTCTTTATGTGAATAAAAAAAGGAGAGGAAAAAACTTTGATGCATTGTCATGCTGTGATGGGATATGTTTTTTGATGTCTTTGCATTGCCTTATTGGTCTTTATTATTTAAATGCCTGGTTTAAATTTATATGATGAATTGAAGTCTAGGGGGGGTATACCCATATTAACTGTAATCCAGCCAGCACTTTGGAGTTTGCTGCTACCCATATTACTTTTGATTTCTGTGGCAAATCTCCAGGTTTGAAGTTTCATTGCAAGTGCCTGAAATCGGAGTATGATGAGCGTTGTTATTTTCATTGTTTGGAAAACAAAAATGTACCTCTGATAATTTTTGTCTTTGATTACTGCTTCTTCAAAGGATTTAAAACAGAATGAAAGCCTTTGAAAATTTAAGAGATGAAGAGACATGAGAGTTATTCTGTATGCACCAGATAAACAGATGTCTTAGCTTTCAAACTAAACCCAGAAAATATAATCACAAGCTTCATCAGAAACAGATAACAATCTAGGTGCACAGTACTTTACATTTTACTAATGTGCAGTGGGAGAAATAATAATACTACTTCCTTCACTTGTCTAAATATTTGTTTCAGACTAACAGCTCAAAAAACATGTTAGTAATAGCAAACAAAATATGATAAATTCCTTTGAGGAGGAAATATTCTCAGCATAATGTCATTATAAGCACAAGTAAACACACTTTGAAATGTATTTGCAACTAAGACACTCATAACACTGAAGGTATTAAATTGTGAATTCCCAAATTAATAGGTATCAGATGTCATGAGTGCTTTTCATCCTGTATTAAAGTCATACTCAAAAGTCCCAATAAACTTAAATTGAAGTTGTAATCATCCAAAGGATGACTACTTGACAGGGCTCATTCTTAATATGTGGGGAAAAATCTGCTTGGAAATAGGTAGAACTGTTTTGAAATGGTTAATGGTGTGCACTACTAAGCCAGCTTCTGCAAAATAACTTCCAAGAAATTCTGGAATATGGACACATTTAAATCACGCCCAGAAAAATCATGTAAGACCCTGGTCTTCTCATGCCAATGATAGCTTCATTTGCAATTGCATTTCCATTTAGAACTCAAAGGAGAACTTTGCCTTCTTGGTGGCACCCATGTGACACGTCATGGATCTACAGAGTGATCCTTGACAACCAGCCCAGGAGGTACATACTGATTCACCACCACATTGGTTTGGGCCAGTTTCTCTGATGGTGCCCTACTGACTGGCCGCATTTCCTTCCTGGAAGGTCTCACTGTGACTCTTAGACTACATTTTAATTTTTGTGTGTGTGTATTTTCAGTCCTAAGGGTCTGAATTGATGTGAGGGTTTGTCTTTCCATCTACAAAATTAAAGATGTATAACATAAAGCTGAGAGGAATTATATGGCTGGAGATAGTGAGGATGTTCAGGAATGAAAAGTCTCTTGGGACAAAGTAGAAGGCTGCTGAGGAGAAGGGATAATATCTTGTGTGGTTTGGACATTGAGGTAAAGTCCACTGAGTGACTTACTTTCAGATGTGTGCCCTGCCTTTGATAGAAGTAATTGTAGTGCAAAATGACAAGGTAAGTAACACCTAATTAGTGTGAATTATTGGGTGTCCAACTCATTGCTTGCTTCATTTTACCATAAACACATACTTTTAGACCTGATTCTAACCTTGATTAACACTGATGTAAAATAAGCATAAAATTCGTATTGATGGAAGAAAAGAGCTACTTTGAGTCAGAGCTCTTGTAGATGCTACATTTTGTCTGCTGTCTTGTGTTAGTGTATTTAAGAACTATGCCATTCTTAAAATACATAAATAAGATATTTAATAATTCAAATGCTTGGTGTA